GGTCACCCGTTTCGTGCAGGCCCAGGACGTGGGGCTGGCAGTGAACCCCATGGGCGTCGAAGGGCAGCTCGAAGGCGGCGCGGTGCAGGGCATCGGCCGGGCGCTCAGCGAGGAAATCCTCATTGATCGCGACACCGGCCAGGTGCGCAACGCGTCTCTGGCCACCTACCTGATGCCCTTGGCCATCGACATGCCGGAGATCGAGAATGTTCTGGTGGAGGTGCCCAGCGAGGATGGCCCCTTTGGCCTCCGTGCCGTGGCCGAGCCGCCGGGATTCGGCCCGCCTGCCGCCATCGCCAACGCCATCTACGACGCGGTCGGCGTGCGCATCCGTACCCTGCCCCTCAGCCCCGAGCGAGTGCTGGCCGCCATGCAGGGGCTGGAACCTGAGGACTACGGCTTGGACGCCGAGGCTCTCCGGGCTGCCGAGGCATAGCGCCAGCCACTCGAATATCAAGCGCCATCCAGGGTAAAGGCAAAAGCGGACCCCGCGAAGGAGGAATCCTCTCGCGGGGTCTTTGGCTTTCCAGGGAGTTGTAGTCGCACTCTCTAGTGTTGCCCGATGAACTCCAGCACCAGTCCGTTCCACACCTCGGGCCGCTCCCAGAACCCGGCATGCCCAGCATCCGGCAGGGAGATAAGCCTGGACGTCGGGACGTGTGCCGCCAGCATTCGCATCAGCGCTGGTGGAGATAGCAGATCAGCCTCCCCGGAGATGACCAGGGTTGGAACCTGCATTGTCTGCAGCCGCGCATAGGTGATTGGTTCCCGAAGAGGCTGCGAAGGTACGGCCCCGCCCGGCCTGCTGGACTCTTCGATTTCCAGCCAGCGGGCCGCCCCTGCCGCGTTGGTTCCCCGGTAAGAGGGTCCCAGTTCGCGCAATTCTACTGGCAGGTTCTGGATCTCGGCGGGCCTTAGCCGCTGCTGTACTTCCAGGTACTCCGGGTCCTGCACACCTCCGATGGTGTTGGCCACTACCACGCTGCGGACCCGCTCCGGATGCGTGAGCGCGTAGTCCAGCGAGGGAATTCCACCGGCTGCCGTACCGACTAGGTGGACTTGGTCGAGGGCCAGGCTCTCTATCAGGGAGTGCAGGTCCTCGCCGACAAAGCCCGGCTGCTGCCCGGGATCGGTCGCTCTCGAACGCCCCCACGTGCGCCGGTCGTAGGTGATGCAACGGTAGCCGGCGGTCGTGAACACTGGCAGTTGATAGACCCAGCACTCGCAGGTGCCGGAGGCGGCGTGCAGGAAAATCACCGGAGCGCCCTCGCCGCCGGTGTCCTCGAACCACAGATCAACTCCGGGCAAATTCAGGAAAGGCAAGACTCTCTGACCCCTTGGCAATTAATCTGGGAAAGGGAAAGACACTGTGAACTGGAATCTCGAGAGATGCGGACGGCCAATAAAAAGGCGCTGACCGATGCACGGCCGAGCACCAAGAGGTACGGGAGGGGACAACTTGTCGGGAGGGGATTTTTTGGAGGCGACGGGCGGATTCGAACCGCCGCATAGAGGTTTTGCAGACCTCCGCCTTAACCGCTTGGCTACGTCGCCTTGTATGTCCCGTTCCTGGAGGTTGAGAAACGGGCCGCCTGGCCGTTTTGTGGTGCCGAGGGCGGGATTTGAACCCACACAGGCGCACGCCCACTGCCCCCTCAAGACAGCGTGTCTACCAATTCCACCACCTCGGCCGGGCCAGTAAGGCTGTATTATAGCACCCCTGTTTAACCCTGCAACACCCACACCGTGCTCGCATCGCAGGACAATTCCAAAGCCTCTCGAATTCAATCTAGTCAGAATCAGGCCCCACCCGACCAACGCATCGGCCAAATCGAAGAACATCCTGGAAATCCAAAAATCCCGTAAATCCTGATTCAGACAACCCCTGACACCCACCCCTTGCCAAGTCACTAGAATATATGTACTATTAAAACTGTCCCGCCCTTAAGCCGGCCGCCCCAGCGGCGGCCGGGCCAATCTGGGACGGCCACTGAGGCCCTTGCTGACACGAGCACAAAACCCCAGTTTTAGGCCGTTGCACCGTGCTCGCCGTGGCCACCTGCCGCCCCTCCCTCGCTCCCTCCCACAGGGCCAAAATGAGCGGAAATGAGAGGAAGTGAGCGGGAAAAACGAAAAATTTGCCAGATGTCATCAGGAGCAACCATGTCATTCAGCCGCATCCGCAACCGCATCGAGTCCCTCGAGCGCAAGCTCGCGCTGCCCCTCGCTGTCGTAAGGCTCCGGCCTCTGGTCGAGGAGTTCTGCTGGCAGTGGCAAGTCGCCACCGTCGAGAGGAAGTCCCTCCCTGACCCTCATTCCCTCATTCAGAAGATCGCCAGCAAGGGCCTGTACTTCAGCACCTTTGGCTATCTGCGAGCCCACCTCGATCGCCAATGCGAAAAGGGTGAGGAGCCGGATCCGCAGGATATGATCAAGGTTCTCCTGCCCATGGCCTACAGGCGGAGCATCATCTGGAACGTCTTTTCCTCCGATGCCCCCGCCGAGGCCTGAACGTCTTCAGAACCCTGTTGAACGGTCCAATCGCCCCGGAATCAACAGGGCAATCGCGTCTTAAACGCGGGAGGCCCTAAAAGTCGTCATTCCCGCGCCTGCGGGAATCCAAACCCCCGTCTACCCTCGCACCCGGAACTGAAGGAGGCACTGCCACACTCATCTCCACCGCATCAAGGGGAACCAGCCCCAAGTGCTGTCGGCATTGGCAGAGGGATTTGCCGGGGAGGAACCGGTGGAACCCGAGGCGCAGAGCGTGGGGGGAAAGCGGGTGTGATTGAGAAACGGCGCATCTGGACTGATGAGGCATTGGCCAGCTATATCCGGGATGAGTTGGGCTTTCCCAGGGCGAGGCAGCGAGTGATGTTGGAGAAGGAGAGGGTGGACATATCCACTGGTGAGCTGAGCCGGGAGCCCTGGCATCTGCTGACCAGCCTGAGTCCAGGGAGGTGCCCACCCAAAGGCCCGTTATTCCAATACTGCGACAGACGCATCGAGCAGTTCCCTGCCCGCTGCCCAGCCACGGCTCCTCTGCAACTCCCCCGAATCCCCGGAAATGCACAAAAGTGCACCCATTTGACCCCCATGACCTGAATCCAAGCCAGCTTGCGACCCCCAGTCGCCGCCGATTACCATCGACACATTCCCGTATGATGACCGCCTGTTGCTGATATAATCCAGCCGCCAAATTGCCATTTCCTCTTTGAATTGACGGAGTATCATCATGCCCCCTATCGACAAGAACTCCATCCGTGCCATCACCTTCGACCTGTACGGCACCCTGCTCGACCTCGAGGCCACGTTCGCGCCCGCTTTCGATGGTTTCCTGCGGGAGCGGGGGCATGACCTCAATGCAGCCGAGCTGGTGCGGATGTGGGAGTGGGTTTACCTCCACGAGGGGATGGTGGACACGTTTCTTGGCGGGCCTCGAACTCCCTTCGAGCAACTGCGCCGCACCACTCTCTCGCAGTTCTTCTCTCGCATCGGCGTCCAACACAGCCGGGACGACATCGAAGACTTGCTGACCAACCGTGTAACTCCCACCCTGTTCCCCGACGTCGTGGATTCGCTGAACGCCATTCGGGGGCGGTACACCCTGTCGGTGCTCTCCAACGGCGACCTGGCCGTGCTGGAGCGGATAGTTGCCACGCTGAACATACCCGTGCATCGCACCATCTCGGTGGAGCAGGCCGGATGCTACAAGCCGGACCAGCGGGTTTACCGCAAGGCCATCGAGTTGCTCGGAGAGGATTCTGGAAACGTCCTGCACGTTGCCGCTCACGCGTGGGATATCCGCGCCGCCAAGGTGGCCGGAATGCGGGGCGCCTACATTGACCGCCACGCCACCCCCTACGCCCCCTTTACAGACGAGAGCCCCGACATCGAAACAGCAAACCTGCCGGAGTTGGCAGCCATCCTGGTTTAAGAACTCTCTTCCGGTCGCCACCACTCTTCCACCCGCAAAAACGACACAACCACGCTGGGCGTGAAACCCACCTTGGAGACGTTCGATGAGCATCCGCTACGGAATCGATCTGGTGCTGCAGCCTTCCTTCACGGCAAAGGTCTACCAGGCTCGACAAATAGTCTGCGGACAATACTCGTCTTGGGCCGCCGAGATGCAGATGTTGCGGATGTCTCTCACCCCGTTCTTCCCCTGCCCCGATGACCGGCTGGCCGCCCTCTCCTCGGAGTTGGAAAGCATCGCCCGCGAGACGGGGGTCCCAGGAACCGTACACGCTCAGCCGAAAGGACATCGTGGCCGATCCTTCCATCAATGGCGTGGTCATGCCGTTCGATGCGCCGCCCCCGTTGCTGGAGTTGCAGCAGAGGTCATTTGCGGCAGCCCGGAACAACTCGCCGGGCCTGAATGCGTCAGAGCTCTTCAGCCCTCGCATCATCCTCTTGGAATACGGTGTGTTCCCGGAGGCGATACTGCCCGACACCGTGCAGTTCGCTGAGGGAGTTGCCTCAGGCCTAGAGATGACAGGTATGGCCCTGCCGTGGCGTCTGTTGCTGACCCGTTACTCCTCCGACGCCGCAGGAGACGACTGGAGCAACGGTCGCTGGGCCGCCGACCTGTCGTGGCAGCAGTTGGCCAGCCATCCGCTTTACTCCGAGGTAACTTAGCATCTGGAATTCCTCGACCCCCTGAATGGGCAGCAGCCAGCGAACATGGGCGAACGCCGCGGAGGTTTAGGCCGATTCTTCGGACGGGCATAGGCGCTGCATTCGCAGGGCAATCGCGTCTTAAACGCCGAAGGTCCTATAAGTCGTCATTCCCGCGAAAGCGGGAATCCAAACCCCCGTCTACCCTCGCACCCGAAACCGAAGAAGGCACTCCCACTCCCATATCCACCCACATTAGACCAATTTTTGTGCTGACAAATAAGACGCGATTGCCCTGGCTGCATTCGCCTCCGGTTAGCGCCCAGCCACTGGCTGCGTTATCATTCAGCCACCATCCCAGATAGGCAGGAGAACGCCCGATGAAAGCTACCACCAAGCTTAGACAGATGCTCAACTCCAATGACATGGTCGTCGCCCCGTTCGTCCTCAACGCCCTGCATGCCAAGATAGCCGAGTCCGTTGGGTTCCAAGCGGTCTACATGACCGGTGCCGGTACCGCCGCTGAAAGAGGCTTTCCCGACGTGGGCCTGCTCACCATGACCGAGATGGTCGCCAACGCCAAGTACATCGCAAACGCGGTCGACATCCCCGTGATCTGCGACTCCGACACCGGCTACGGCAACCCGCTGAACGTGATGCGCTCGGTGCAGGAATACGAAGCTGCCGGCGTGGCCGCCATCCACCTCGAGGACCAGGTCTTCCCCAAGAAATGCGGCTTCTTTGAAGGCAAGCAGGTCACACCTGTCGAGGACCACGTGCAGAAAATTCGAGCCGCTCTCGATGCCCGCAAGGACCCTGACTTTGTCATCATCGCTCGCTGCGATGCCTACGCTGTAACTGGCTGGGAGGACACCATCCGGCGCTGCAAGGCCTACGTGGAGGCGGGCGCCGACGTGGTATTCGTTGACGGCATCAAGAGCGATGAGGACATTCGCAAACTACGCCAAGGACATGGCCGACCTGCCCCGAATGTACAACGGCGACCTGATGAACACCAACGATTTGAACGATCTGGGCTACAAGATCACCATCTGCGGCAGCACCATCTGGCTCATTTACCAGCAGGTCAAGGAGTCCTTCGAGGAACTCAAGGCCACCGGCGCTGTCGACCCGAAGCGCTTCGCCACTCGCTGGGACGTCGCGTCCCTCCTGGGGCTCGGCGAAATATACGAACTCGAGCGCAAGTACGGCGTCAGCGACACCGTCCCAACCAATGTGTAGGGCCCGCCGACGATAAGGATCGGAGGCTCTGCGGAACAAATGAGAATCCGTTCATCCATCGAGAATTGAGGATGAACGGATTCTGTTTGGAGCCATGCCAGTCACCGCTGGCGACAGCGCGATGGTTACCTTTACTCCTGGTCCCTAGTGCCCGCGGTGCTGCTGAAACTCCCGCTCGGTGGTCTCCGCCTCCACCTGCTGGTACTCCGGCAGGCTGATGAGTGCCTCAACCTCGGCGCGCATTTCGGCCACCTGCGGCGCGTTGATCCCGATGTGCCCGGTGTCGCGCAGGCTCTCGTAGATGCGCCGGATTCCGTCCACCGCCGCGATGATCGATGACGTGGCATAGATCAGGAACTGGCAACCCAGGTCCCGGTACTCCTCCACCGTAATGTCGTCGGCCCCCGCGATCACCATCAGCGGGATGTCGGGCACTCCCCGCCGGAACGTGGCCAGATCCTCCCGGCTGCGAACGCCCCGTGGCATCACCAGGTCCACGCCCAGGTCTTTGAGGGCGTTGCCACGGCGGATGGCCTCGTCCATGTCGCCCTCGACAGCCGTGAAGGCGTCGGTGCGGCCCACAATCAGGAAGTCGGGGTCGGTGCGGGCCCGCAGTGCATATCCTATCTTCTGGAGAAACTCGTCCATGGGTATGACGTGCTCCAGTCCAGCGTGGTACGAGGCCCGCTTGGGGAAGAACTGGTCTTCAATGTGGATGCCGGCAATGTTCGCTTTCTCAAAAGAACGCACCGTGTGCATGGCATGCACCGGCTCACCGTAACCCGCATCGGCATCGCAGATTACCGGCAGCGGCACTGCTCGCACTACCCTTTCGGCCACTGACAGCTGCTCGGTCATCGTCATCAATGGCTCGGTGACTGCCAGGTGAGCCCCGGAGATGTAGCCGCCGCAGTAGACCGCATTGAAACCCAGCGACTGCACCAACCGAGCCGATATGGGATCGTAGGCTCCGGGGGCCACGATCTGCTCCCCGGAGTTGATCCTGGCCCTGAGGTCAGTTCGGACTGACATAGCACTTGCCTCCGATAGCAATCTCAACCGTGGGAGGAGGTTTCGCAGGGGATCCAGGTTGGACACCGTGCCTCCCTGCGGTTCCGGGTACAAGGCACTGGTTAGCCCTGCGGAATGAGCGGCACCACCTCGCGGGCGAACTGTTCCAGGTTTTCCTGCAGTGAGGCCACGGTGTCTCCGGCGGGGAAGCCGATGATGAAGTTGGAGACGCCCAGGTCCATGTACTGACGGAGGTCGGCGGCGATCTGTTCCGGACGGCCGTTCATCCAGGGCCGGGAGCCGTCGGCGGCGTTATTGAACCGCACGTCGGTGCTGAAGGTCAGGTCTACGGCATTCTCGTCGCGGCCGGCCTGCACTGTGAGGCGGCGCAGGCGGGCGATGAGACCGGAAAGCTCCTCGGGTTCAAGGATGGCCGGAGGTCGATGTCCGATGGGCATCCAGCCGTCCCCGTACTTGGCCGCGCGGCGGATCGCAGGCCCGGTGTGTCCGCCAATCCAGATTGGTGGATGAGGTTTCTGTACTGGCTTGGGAGAGAAGCCGCTGCCCGAAATCTGGTAAAACTCTCCGTCAAAGGATGGGTTGTCCTTGGTCCATAGTTCCTTGTACAGCTCGATGAACTCGTCGGTAACGGCCCCGCGTTTTGCGTAGGTGTCCAGGCCCATGGCCTCGAACTCCTCCTCCATCCAGCCCACACCCGCTCCGAGAATCACCCGCCCGCCGGACAGAACGTCCAGGGTGGAGAGCATCTTGGCGGCGAGTACAGGGTTGCGATATGGCAGGATCAGCACGTGAGTGCCTAACCGCACCCGTTGCGTGCAACCTGCCAGGAAGTTCAAGGCCGCCAGCGGTTCATAATAAGGCTGGTCTGGCACAAAGGTTGCCACGCCGTCGGAGGCGTAGGGATAGAATGAACTGACCTCGCGTGGCAGGATGACGTGGTCGCTGACCCAGATGTGGTCATATCCCAGGTCATCTGCCCGCTGGGCAAGCGAGCGCAACTCGTCGGGCCCTGCCAGTGGCCCTCTGGTGGTACGGATGTGCCGAAAGTGACGGCCATAGTTTCCTCCGGTGGCGGGCGTTCTTGCGCCCCGCAGATTTGTCGGTTGCTGAAAAGTGTAGCAGATACCTGCGCGTTGCGAACTAAAAGAATCCGCCCGGTGTCTTTGCGCCGCCCTGCTTGCGGACTACGTAGCTGCTGCTGAGGTGGTCGTGGGGGCCGCGTTTCCGGGAGTCAAAATTTATCCAGATGTACAGAAGTCCAAGCGGAAACAGTGCCAGCAGGATCACTCCTCGCAGCAACTCGCGTAGCACGGCTTTGTGCAATGGTGGAATGTTGCCAGTTGCATCCACAACTTGGATCTTCAGCAACATCTTGCCCAGAGTCTGACCCCGCCAGACCGTAAAAATAACCCCGTGGACCGTTCCGATGGCGGAAAAGAGCAGCAGGAAACTGTAGTTGAAATTCGCCAGGGTTATCTGGACGTCTTCCAATGCAACGGGTTCGACATCGCCTGAGGTCAGGGAGATCCCGATTATCGCGGCCACCAGCGCAGCGACGAGGTAGGCTGCAACCCAGTCAACAATGAATGCCGCCAGCCGCTGCAGAAACCCAGCGTATTCCTCCCCCCGAATGGCACTGGACTGTCCTCGTCCGCAATTTGGGCAGAAGTCGGTCATCGGGGTGATGCCCGCTCCGCACCCACCGCAGCGCAGTCCGCCTGCCTCAATGGTATTCCGGGATGGCGGCGCGCCTGCGCAGTCGAGGCAGAGTCCTTCCGCTGTTTGGAAGTGCAGCGCGCAAAGTGGCGACACACCACAGCGGCTGCAAGAGTGCCCCTCCCCCCAGGGAACGCCTATGCCGCAGCCGCGACAATAGGGGATGTAGTCCGCCGGAGGATCGTTGAACGCCTCGTACGACTGTTCGCTAGCCGCTGGCGAGGAATCGAGCGGATGGCCGCACGTGCCGCAAATTCTGCTGTCAGGGTCTACGGGGGTGCCGCAGTTCCCACAAAAAGATGGTCTTGAATCGGGGCCCGAATCACTGGCCATTGGACATATAGTCTCCCCGCCGGATATTGACGCGACAAGCATACCCCGCCAGAAGTCACTGCTCAAGATTTCACGCGGCTATTCAATTAGTGTGAATGTACCCGGATGTACTTTGTTGGCATAGCTAATATAATTTCTGGAGGTTCTTGGCTCTCGTACTCAATGAGCCGATAGTTGAAGCGTGTTAGGGAAAGGTGGTGTTGCTTCCCAAGCTGAATGGCGTATCAGATTCATCCGTTTCGGCTCCTTCCGCAAGAATTCCCCTTGGACGGGCGCGCCTGGCGTTGGCACTCTCGAGGGTGGCCCCGTTCCTGCTCCTTTCCGGCGTCCTATTTTCTCTTGCTGCCGTTGGTTGCGAAGCTGTCCAGGAGCGAGTCTCTCCGTCCACTCCGACGAGCAAGGCGGCTACGCCAACCGCTCCTCTTGGCACCCAGGCAACCCCTGCGGGGTCTGCGGTGTCACCCTCTGCCACATATACCCAGCCAGGCAATACTGCTGCTCAATCAGACCTTGTGCTTTCCGTGTCCATCGCCAGCCATCCGCCAGGCATGGCCGAATACGACCGCCGCACGTGGCAGCACTGGACTGATGAGGACAAGGATTGCCAGAACGCCAGGCAGGAAGTACTGATCGCAGAGTCTACCGTGGCCGTAACCTACCAGTCCGAGGACGAATGTCGAGTGTCTTCCGGGCTTTGGCAAGGACCGTACACCGGCAAAATTGTGGACGATCCCGGCGCTCTTGACGTGGATCACATGGTGCCGCTGGAGAACGCTCATCGTTCCGGGGCCTGGGGTTGGGACAAGGAACGCAGCGGGAATTTGCCAACTACCTGGGGTACGACAACCATGTTCATTCAGCCACTACAAGCGGCGCCAACGCGCTCAAGGGATCCAGGCGGTCCGAGGAATGGCGGCCTCCCTTGCAGGACTATTGGTGCCTTACTGCCACGGACTGGGGTGGCCATCAAGATGAGTGGGGGCTCACCGTACCCAACTGAGTATGTCGCCACTTTGGAGATGCTGGCTCTTGCGAACCACCGTGCTGCTGGAGTCGCAAGGAGAGCATCGCCAGCGCGACCTACACACTTCCATGCCGCCACGCGACCCACGCCCGCCATTTCACCTTCCGTGCCAACGGATTCTCGATACGATCCCTTCGGCCCGACCGGGACTGCGGAGAATTCGACGCATATGAAGAGGCTCTGGCTTTCCTTGCCGCGGTGGTCCGGAAGCTGATCCCCACATAGCTGGTATGTGAACGGTGATGGCGAGCCTGTGATGGGCCTCACCTGGTGCGGCCTTCCGCCAAGATTATCCCAGCGCCGCCGGGTGGTTCCACGCGGCATTGTCGCAAGCTCAAGGAGTGCGGGACCGCTCCCCGCGTCGCATTGTGCATCACCCTGGTCCTTCGCACACGTCCGCCACGGGATCATCCGAGACGGCGCCTGACTGAGTTATTTAACTGCCAGCTTTGTGCGGGCCAATGTCCCGGGATGTCGACTGTATGCGTTCACGCTGTGCTAGCCATTGCGACAGTTGCTCAACTCCCGTGGGTCGCCACCACACTTTCGCGCCACGACTGCTCCCTCTCCGACTCCGAGCTGTCCACCACATCTGCGCCGCGGTCTCCAACGCCTTGTACGACTAGCCCTCTCGAAATGCTGTCTGCCTGGAGTGGGTGCTGCTCGAGTTTCGGACTGGAAGGGAGGCGCTCAGGATTCTGTCTTTCTGTCCAAAGGTGGCCTCTTGTGGACACGAGCGCTCATGATCTGGTACTTCGACGGGTGACTCGCGAGCGGGAATGCCTGCAGTCATCTTCGCCCGTGGGCGCAGCCGCCTGGCAGTGTGTCAGCCGAACGTCCCGCCACACCCACCCGTCCACGCCGACCGTTGTGCCTGAGCGCACACGCGGTCTCG